ACCCCTCGTATTTGGTTAGAAATCGAAAACCGTACCTGCAAATACTATCTCTGCTGTATTTATCGACCTCTAAACGCTGATGCCAGTTTCTGGACTAAACTTTCATGGAGTTTAGATAAAGTTGGAGAATCCTCGAGTAAAATCATAATTGTTGGTGATATAAATGTAGATTTGTTAAATACTCCTCAAACACACCTAATACGTGAAATAATTACAAATTCCAATCTTGTCAATAACATCCACGTACCGACGAGAATTTCTAACAATACACGCACGCTTTTTGACCCAGTTTTCACTTCAGCTGATATTCAGGTACATGATTCGGGTGTCCTCGAAATTGACCCAGCTTTTAGTGATCACAAAGCAATTTATATTGCACTAGCTTCGAATATAAATTACAATCGCGCTTACAAAAGAAAGATATGGGATTATAGGAATAGTGACTTTGACAAATTAAATTCCTTAATACAAAATTATGATTGGGATAAATGCCGACAATATAGACGCGGCTACCGACAATTTTTCAAATAAATTTCTCTCTTGTGTTAGACAATCTTTCTGTGTATTACCTCTCTTTAAAAAGGATGATCCGTCTTTAGTGTCTATAACTATAGGCCTGTGTCGTTGTTAAGCTGCGTTAGCAAAATTATGGAGAGAATTATTTTCAAACACGTGTATAATTATTTTCATCATAACAATTTATTTTATCGATATCAAGCGGGTTTTTTACCTGGTCACTCTACAGTGTACCAACTTCTAGAAACTTATCAAAGTATTGTGCAAAGTATAGATGAAGGTAAATCGTGTTGTATGTTTTTTTTTTGCGATCTATCTAAAGCATTCGACAGAGTATGGCATAAGGGTCTTCTTTTCAAATTACAAACGTATGGAATATCTGGTGATCTTTTACTGTGGTTTACAAGTTACTTGAGAAATAGATCACAAAAAGTTATGTATAAAGATCTGCTGTCATCCAACCTCAATATATATGCAGGTGTGCCTCAAGGCTCAGTTCTAGGTCCTCTTTTATTTTTGATATATATTAATGATGTTGCTGAAAATATGCTTACAATGTGTAGATTATTTGCTGATGACAATTCACTGCAACATGCATCATATAATGTACTAGATATAGAATACAGGTTAAACCATGATCTTGATGTTTTAGATAATTGGTCGAGTAAATGGCTCTTAAGATTTAATCCAGCAAAAACAAAGGTTGTATTTTTTTCTTTAAAACATAGACCTATTTTACCTAACTTGTATTTTCAAGGCAATGCACTGGAGTTTGTATCGGCGCATCGCCATTTGGGTATATTGTTGTCACAAAATCTCAGCTGGTCTGAATATATAGATAGTATTGTTAATAATGCTTATAGGAAATTGGGGTTATTGAAGAAGTTGAAATTTTCAATCGGTAGGAAAAATCTTTCTCTTTTGTATACAACATTTGAAAGACCTACACTTGAATATGCTTCAATTGTCTGGGATGGTTGCTCTATATCTGATATAGAAAAACTTGAAAAAGTACAATTAATGGCTGCTAGAATAGTCACTGGTCTTCCGATACTAGCTTCAAGAGAATCACTCTATTTTGAAACAGGATGGGTACCTTTGAAAAACCGTCGTTACCAATCTAAAATGATTAAAATGTTCAAAATTAATAATTGTAATGTACCGGAATATATACAAGATATAGTCCCAAAGAAACGAGAACACACATCAAGATACAATACACGAAATAAGGATCAATTAACTATCCCAAGAGGCAGGTTAGAAATATTTAACAAATCGTTTGTACCTGACGCAGTTAAAAAATGGAATTTATTGAATACAGATACAAGGGAAGCCATCTCAGTCAATTCTCTTCGTAAGATTATAAGTGATAATAATCCTAAAGCACCATCATATTTTTCGTTTGGTAAACGTATTACTAACATTATTCATACTAAATTAAGGCACAACTGTGTATTGAACCAAGACTTATTCAAACGAAATATCATTGATAATCCCTATTGCTCTTGTGGTAAACAGGAAGATGCCTATCATTTTTTTCTTTGTTTGTAAAAAATACTGTAATGCTCGAAGTAATCTTTTTGACTATCTTTCTCGACTTGATTTAAACATCATAGATGTACACCTACTCCTATGGGGCAACCAAAATCTCTCAATTGAAGTAAACATTGGCATTTCTGTCGCTCTGTTCATAATTTATAAATGAATCCTGTAGATTTAGCTAGATATATTATTGACTCTTATTTGTACACATTTTTGCTACTATTTTGCATGACAATTAATATGTGTTTTTTTAAGGAGAAGAACTAGTTGTTAGAACTTGTTTCTTATCCGTTTGCTTGTCAATAAAATATGTTCAAAACAAAACAAAACAACAATACAGTTATGGGAAAGAATGAAAGAAATCAGCATATTTATGTTAAATGAATGTCTTTGAGATAACTGGTATGAAGAATAGGACTGTGAAGAAATGTTTTTTATGCTACCAAAGCTGGGAAATGCCGTTAATGTGTTAATTCTTAGGAAATGAATGATCGAGAGAAACGACACCGCATGAATAAGGACGGAATTCTTCAAGTTTTTTTTATTTAAGTCAAAGACCCCAACTGGGGTATATGAATACAATCTGTGACCAAGAACTATTAAGATATTTGAGTAGCTTCCCTTTACATTTACAAACTTACCAGGGATATACGCGCATTGATGACGTTTTCCGTCCAAATTTTTTCTTTGATACTTCGATCAAAGGAAAAAATATTACATTCATTTCCTAAATAACAAAACAGAATGGACTCTTTTGATGGTGAATATGGTTAGTTATTTACCAGAAAAATACATGTATCAATATTGACCTAGGCTTCGCCTTGGTCAATATTAATATTTTTCAGGTGAATAACAAACCATATTCACCACCGAGAGTCCGTAACTGTAAAATGCGAATTAATAATTGCTACTTGTTTCAACGTTTTTTTTTCTTGTTTTTTTTTTCGTACGATTAGTTTTTGCCAAATTGTAGTGTTGAGGTACGAACAAAAATTAGCGTTTCTTCATTCTTGCTTGTCGCCATTAATTGACATTTACACCTTGTTAAAATAAAAATGAAATGTAATATTAAAAGTGTTAATATATAGACATACATTGCTTATTGTTCGCTTGCTTTATGGTTTCATTACTGTTATTAATCATTCTAAATGTGTAAATTAAAAAAATGAATATTTTCCGATCTAGAATGCGCCTAAATTAGTCAGGTTTTCTGATTCATATATGTGCTAAAATCAAATTTGTTCGCTGGAACAAATGTTGCAGGTATACAATTGATAAAAATGTTAATAAAGAAATCTGGGATAACTTAGTGCAGAATTTAGTCTTCCTGATCCAAAGTGTGCATCTATTATGGATTGAATAATTCGGGAGTGAATCATATAGGTGACCAAAATACTTTTTGAACATTTACAGAGAAAATATCCAATGAAGTTTAAATCCTCACGATGTTGGCGTCCTGGTGTATTTGATCAAAATATTTATAACACATATAATGTCTCTTAAGATTGACCTTATGCTCTACGACCGGTAGCGACGAGGATTGGTACATGTCCGAAAATTAAGCATAATTCTGGATGCACTTCCTTTTTATGTCTCCTAATTCTATGTCTTTGTACTATTCTTTGAACCTCTGACGTGCTTCTTTGTGCTTAAATCATATAGTATACACTAATTCTGTACATTAAATGAGAAAGGAAATAGAGAATTCAGTATTCTAAAGGAACACATTTATAGACGCTATCTATTGAACTTCTTTTATCTGAGTAACATGACTTCATTTCTTTATTGTCAAAGGAAACACATCAACTTAAAAATCTCTCGCAAATTGACGAGGTTTGGGGAAAAAATCAGTTTTGGAAAAACCTTTCTCTCGCTCCCATTTAATGTATACGCACTGGAATTTTGTCCATATTTTATCCTTCGAAACGACTTCTGCATTCGTAGCCCGAAATCTGACGTTTTATGGGTTTTTGAACGATTTTGATATTTTATGTACCTGGACACCCTTTACGTTAATATCAAAATCTTTAAAAAGCCCGAAAAACGTAAAATATTTTGAACTACTGCTTCAGGTCTTAATTTGTCATTTTAAGAATACCCCAGTTTTAATATCAAATTAAGTCAAGTAGTCAAGTAAATTTTATAGCACATATACAGTGTATACAGTATAATAGAAATGACATGAGCTGTGGTAAGCTCTTTAACCGACTTTAAAGTTAAAAATTAGTAAAAATATACATTGTTAGTAAAAAGAAAAAGATAATTTAAATGAACCATTAAAATAACATTTTAAGGGTAAGAAAAAAGCACAGATATTAGCACATATTCCAAAACAAGAGGCCCACGGGCCTTATAGGTCACCTGAGTATCATGTAACAACTTTCAAACAATTAAAATTTGTTCGTGTTTTACCTCAGAGGCCATAAAATTCACAATTCACAGAAGCACTATTGCTTATCATAACTATAAACTTAGCATGCTTACTCTATTTACTTAATACCCAGAGGTGGATCAGAGTAACAAAGAGAAAATGCACTTCAACTTTATAACCAGTTTTGCACCTCACCCCAAAGGAACCACTGACCCTGGGGCCACATATTTCAAAATTTTGCAAATTTTATCATAAAATGGTTGATTCATACTAAAGAGCAGATTTCAAAGCATTAATTTATTTTCAGACTATGTTACTACCCGCCCCCCAACCCCAGACCCAGGGGGCATAAAAAATAACCATTTTGCTTGATGCACCTTTCTTCATCATAAATATATATATATATACTTGGCTATAAAACAGGAGCAAAGGAAAAGATTTTCAAAGAATTAATGCATTTTCACTTTATAATCAATAGAGCCCCGCCCTAATACCAGAACCCCTGACCCCGGGGCCATAAAATTCACAATTTTGAAAGTGGCACTCTTGCTCATCATAACTATGTACTTAGTTAGTTTATTTAAAACCAAGAATACAGAAATCAACAGAATCAAATCAAGCTGATACAGAGGACGAGACTGCGAGTGAATCTGGAAGACACACCGTGCCAGTATCAGCAGTACTGAGTGAAATTAATGAGAGGAAAAACAGAGAATGTAACATGATCATCTATGGGATAGAGGAAAGTGACTCAGACAATAAGGAAGTACGTCGTACCAATGACGGAGATAAGGTGAAAGAAATTGCTGAGGTTTGTGAAGTGAACGTCGCAGATGAAAGCACAATAAAGTTAATGAGACTTGGTAAATTTAATAAGGATAAGAAACGCCGTCCATTGCTCGTTACCTTCTCAACCCCAGAAAAAAAAGTGGAGTTCTTTAAACGAGGTGGTAAGCTGCGGGAAAACATTGAACTCAGTGAAGTACGACTTGCAAATGATTTGACACGCACAGAGAGGGAAAATGAAAAGAAACTGTATATGAAAGCCAAGGAACTGAATAAAAATGGTTCGGGGGAATTCCATTACCGTGTGCGCGGTCCACCTTGGGCAAGGAAAGTGGTAAAGCTCAGGGTAAGCGATCCAGAGTAGAAGATACAAAGAGAAATGTAAATAATGTATATAGTTTTAAAGTGATAAACAAACTTTCGTTCTTTTACACCAATTCAGTCCAATTTAGAAATAAGTTCAATGAGTTCCAGGTCAGGATAAGGAACACAAAGCCATTGATAATAGGAATAACAGAAGTGAAGGCAAAAAATGCAACATGTGCACCTAATCCAGCTGAATATACGATGGACTGGACGAAGGAATACAGGATGTTTCATGTAAATATTGAAAGCAGCATAGGTAGAGACTACTTTTATATGTACATGATTCTCTTTATGCAGAGGAGGCAAAACTTTCAGCGTCCTTTGAGGAGCAGCTTTTTGTGAAAATAAAGATAAACAGCACAGAATATCCTAGTTGGCCTCATTTATCGGTCACCGTCAGACAATACCGAAGAAAAAAATGAATGTTTAAGAAACCTGATAAATGAAGCCTCAAGAATGAAGTGCAAACACTGTCTCATTATGGGAGATTTCAACTATCCTAATATAGACTGGGATTTACTATGTACAAAAAGTGAAAACTGCTGAGCAGAAATTCATAGATTGTCTGCAGGACAACTACATGTTCCAAACCGTCACAAAACCAACAAGGTGGAGAGGAACGAACATTCCAACCATTTTGGATCTTGTGATCACAAAGGATGAAAATGCTGTGGAGGAAATGGGATACCAAAGCCCATTAGGAAAGAGCGACCACTGTGTTATCTGCTTTAACTATGTTTGCAGTGCAATACTGAAAAGTGGACCAAAAAAGAGGAGGACTTATAGGAAAGCTAACTTTGCGGGTATGAAGAAGTAAATTAGCGAAACAGATTGGGAAAGCATTCTGGAGTCACAGAGCACAGTAAACGAGATGTGGCGTCAATTCCGACAAAAAATTGAGGACATAGAAGATAAATATGTGCCAGTAGTCACCATCAGACCAAGCAGAAAAACGAAAATGCCCTTGGACAAAGAAACTGTCACCTTGATTAAAGAAAAAAACGCACTGTGCAGAAAATATGTCACTACCAAGGATCCAAATATAAGGAAAAAGTACAATAGGACTAGGAACAAAGTGGCAAAGTTTGTGAGGAAAGCAAGGAAGTCATTCGAAAAGAGTATAGCACAAGAGGCAAAAACTAACCCAAAAAAGATATGGCAGTATATTAACTCAAAAAGTAAAACGAGACAAGGAATCGGGGAACTGTGTGTCGACCCTAAAAATCCAAAGTCCAATAAAACAGAAGTGGATGAAGAGAAAGCAAATATTTTAGCAGATTTTTTAGTAGCGTCTTTACACAAGAACCTGAGGAAGCCATACCCGAACTGGACAAACGCCCCATCAAGAAGGAGTGGACAGAATTAAGAATATTGGAGGAAGGAATTATCAAAGCACTAAACCTGTTAAAGCCAGATAAGTCACCAGGATTAGACAACATGCATCCAAGGCTATTGAGGGAATTAAGAGTGGAATTAGCAGAACCCCTAGCAAGGATCTTCAGGAAGTCAGTAGATGAGAGAAAAGTTCCAGAAGAATGGAAAACAGCACGTATTAGCGCGATCTTTAAAAAAAGGAAACAAGGCGATAGCAGGAAATTACAGACCAGTGAGCTTAACGTCAGTGGTGTGTAAAGTCATGGAGAGACTAGTTAGGGACCACATAATAGAGCATTTTGTAAACAACAACCTCTTTACAACTAAACAATATGGCTTTATCAGTGGTAGATCAACTTCACTACAACTGTTAAGGGTATTAGAGGAATGGACAGAGGCGTTGGACAGTGGACATGATGTTGACTGTATCTACATGGACTATCAGAAGGCTTTTGATACTGTCCCACATAATAGACTGCTTAAGAAACTGGAAGCATATGGAATAGGAATAGAACTTATAGACTGGATAAGGAACTACCTAAGTTGAAGGAAAAACAAGTATCCATAAACGGGGCAACATCTAAATGGCATAGCGTAACTTCCGGCATTCCGCAGGGGTCAGTTATTGGGCCGATAATGTTCGTCAATATCATCAACGATCTCCCTGATATCGTGAGCTCTACTGTGTACCTATTTGCCGACGACGCGAAAATCTTCAACATAGTTAAGGGTAGGGAAGATAAAATGACACTTCAAAGAGATCTTGAGAAACTAACAGAATGGAGTAACACCTGGCTCCAAAAGTTCCATCCAGAAAAATGTAAACACATGCACATTGGAAAGAAAGACCCAGACCAAGACTTTGAGTATGAGCTGTTAAGACGCACTCTGGAGAAGGTACAAGAGGAAAAAGACATAGGAGTCATCATAGATGAACAACTGAGCTTTGATAGACACATAAGCGAAAAGGTGAAAAAGGCAAACTCTATTTTTGCAATGTTAAGGCGAACTTTTCAACATTTGGACGAAGAAACTTTCATTCCTCTTTATAAGACACTTGTCAGGACACATTTAGACTATGCGAGTTCAGTCTGGTTCCCTTTCAAATCAAGACACATAGAGATGATTGAAGGAGTGCAGAGAAGAGCTACCAAGCAGATTCCAGGATTGGCAAAATTAAGCTATGAAGAAAGGTTGAAGAAACTAAAACTACCAACGCTGAAGTACAGGCGCCACCGAGGAGAGATGATTGAAGTGTACAAAATAACAAGTGGAAAGTACGACCCATTAGCAACAGACTTTATCAAGTTAAGGAGAGACCAAGTTACTAGGGAACAAGGAAGAGGGAATTTAAGAAGCTGTTTGTACAGAGACCAAGACTCAATATAAGAAAATTCAGCTTCAGTGTTAGAACTGTCAGTCTATGGAATAGCTTACCAGAGGATGTTGTAAGTGCTAAACTTGTGAATACTTTCAAGAATAGACTAGACAACTTCTGGAAGGACCAGGATGTGCTCTATAATTACAAAGTAGACTTTAAAACCGATTACACCGGTAGTCACCCAAGTAGTCACAAAACAAGTTTGGAGTCCGACGAAGAGGACCTTGACAGGACCTGTGTTGGAAAAATACCATAAGTAACCATAAGTAAGAAGCAGAGAAGAAGACTTTCAAATAATTAATGCATTTTCACTATATGATCAATAGAGCCCCGCCCTAACACCAGAACCCCTGACCCTGGGTCAATAAAATTCACAATTTTAGAAGTGGCATTCTGTTCATCATAACTATATACTTACATGTAGTTAGTTTATTTAATACCCAGAAGCAGAGAAGATTTTGTAAAGAATTAATGCATTTTCACAAAATGATCAATAGAGCCCCGCCCTAACACAAGAACCCTTGACCCTGGGACCATAAAATTCACAATTTTGGAAGAAGCACTCTTTCTCATCATAACTATGTATTTAGTTAGTTTTATTTAATACCCAGGTGCAAAGAAGAAGATTTTCAAAGAATTAATGCATTTCACTATATGATCAATAAAGCCCCGCTCTAACACCAGAATCCCTGACCCTGGGGGCCATAAAATTCACAATTTTGGAAGAAGCACTCTTTCTCAACATAACTATGTACTGTTTTAGTTTATTTAATACCCAGAAGCAGAGAAGAAGATTTTCAAAGAATAAATGCATTTTCACTATATGATCAATAGAGCCCCGCCCTAACACCAGAACCCCTGACCCTGGGGCCATAAAATTCACAATTTTGAAATTGGCACTCTTGCTCATCATAACTATGTGCTTAGTTAGTTTATTTAATACCCAGGAGTAGAGAAGAAGATTTTCAAAGAATAAATGCATTTTCACTATAAAATGAATGGAGCCCCGCCCTAACACCAGAACCCTTGTACCTAGGGCCATAAAATTCACAGTTTTGGAAGAGACACTTTTGCTCAAAATAACTATGTACTTAGTTTATCCAATACCCAGGAGCAGAGAAGAAGATTTTCAAAGAAATAATCCATTTTCACTATATAATCTACATAGCCCCGCCCTAACACAAGAACCCCTGACTCTGGGGCAATGAATTTCACAATTCTGGTAGAGGAGTCAATGCTCATTACATTCAAGCCAACAATTTGTCTGCTTGATGTCCAGGAGTAAATAAGAAGATTTTTTAAAATTGCAATAATTTTGGTGGATTTAGCCCCACCCCTCAGGCCCCAGGGGGCGGGGACCATAAAATTCACAATTTTTGTTCTTCTTCACCCATAGATACTGTATACCAAATTTGGTTGAAATTGGTTTAGTGGTTTCAGAGAAGAAGTTGAAAATGTTCAAATGTTAACACACGACGGACGATGGACGACGGACGAAAATGGATAGCAATAGGTCATAAGGTGACCTAAAAAAAACTAAAATAAAGAAGCATCATAAATTATTTTTCACACGTATGATTAAAGGTAAAAAAAATATAAAGCATAGTACGCCACAGATTATTACTTATTATTTACTTATCAATGTAGCATAGTACGCCACAGATTATTACTTATTATTTACTTATTACATAAGCATTGATCGTGCTGATGGAATAAATAATAGTAGAGAGAAATAAATAATAACATATATGACTGTCACAAGCAAAGACACCCATAAAGCACGGTACAGTAGAAAACATTTACTAGACTGACAGAAAAGGAAAACTTAACAACAAGGAAAGCAACATAGATAGCAATTATGGACATTTACAGAACATTAAAAAAATGATAATAAACGCCCCGAACTTTTCACCTATTTCCATGACAACTATTGATAATTTGAAATTTTTAAATGCGAATCGCACAACTACAATTACTATTAATATAACAAAGTTTCATGACGATTGTTCAAGTGAACAGAGAGAACACTCCCAGTCAAAATAATAGCAATAAATCGCCCGACTTTTTTGACAAAAGAACTCAAATTCGTCACATTCGCACCTTCCCATGGTAACAGTAGCCAATCTAAAGCTGAACGTCCTTCCTGCAAAACTACAACTACTGATCATCTTTTGAGGAAAGTTTCAGGGAGATTTTCCCAGCCATCTCCGAGAAACAGCCTGGAGAAAATTTTCATGTGTTCAATTGCAATATGTCGCCCCCGATTTCGTTTGGGGCGACATAATAAAAAATAAATAAATAAATAAAACCAAACCAAACATACACACATTTAAAAAAAATAAATAGTTCGAATCACAACAAAAGAACATTTAGAAAGGCTTTTCAGACATAGGCAGCATGGACTGGTATTTACATAAACTACAGTTGCATTTCTGATATCCACACAAAGTAGTTCTTGAATAAATTAAAGGATGTCGTGTTTCGAATATCATTAGGAAGAGTATTCCATGTCCTAGCTGCCTCCTATCTGAAAGAACCTTTTCCATACATTGTAGTTTTGGGGCTAAAAATTGCTGCGGCTTTAGAATATCTAAAATTATATGATTTTCTTTTACTATAACCAGATCTTGGAAAAAGATTGGACTCTTTTTGTTAATATTTTTAATGTTACTAATACCAGCAATCTCATTCTTCTGGTCTTTATGGAGGGAAAAGCTTCAAATGCAGACCTATACTAGAAACTCGGGGCCATTGAACAGTGGGTGTTCTACACCTACTGTGGGGCCTCGGGTTTGAAGATATCCGAAATACCTTCACTTCTAGTGCCAGTTGCGCTTCGTGAAGAAACAATCACTGCTTATGATTACCGCGTTAGGCATGATGCAAATCGAACCCCGGCCTTCTGATCACAACGCGAACGCTACTAGGCTACTGTGACTGAAGAAATGTTATCATATTTTATTTTTAAACATTATAAATATGCAATAAAACACTTTTTTAATTCATGAGGAGAAAAGCATAGAAGATGCGGTGGTGATATTAAAAAAAGTATATATACTTCTTTCCCGAGCACACAGGAGTTTTTTAAAAAAATATCTCTGTTGAGGATACACGAATTTTACTGGCTTATTTTGATCGACTTCAAAAAGTAGATTTAACATTTATAATGACCTTGGATTCATTGCACTTTATTTAAGACCCGTTTATTAAAAATGATGAAACTATATTTTTAAGAATGTTGTTTTTAAGTTTGTAACGTGAAACAAATGGAGATAACGAAAGCATTTAAGATCAAATGTCCATAAAACAATACATAATAGGAGTAAGAGCATACACGGACCTCCAAAACATCGGAGGTGGGAACAGGTGCCATGGAGAAATAAGCATCACCTGCCCACCGATTACACCCGCCGTGTGCTCCTTGTCATGATCAGGAATTAACGGAAAAATCCGTCTTCAAATCTGTATAATTAATGGACTAACAATTAGTATGAAAAACGTCAGTCAGCATTTGAATCAATGGTAAATTGTATTTGCTAACAAGGTCATTGTGTCGACCATAGAACTTCCGAAATGATGACTTTGAACGCGACTGTTGATATTCTTGCTTCACCAACTTGTTTGTCAATAATTTACCTCGTTTTAGAAATTGATCATACGCAGAGCATGCTCTTGCATATAGAGAAAATGAGAGATATAAAGTCCGTATTCAGGTGATGAAGATATATTGTTGCTTAGTAAGGGAAGTTGACGATTGTAACGTTAAAGTCATCACGTTTATCATAGACCTTGGTTGTAAGATTACCATTATTGTCTTTTTCAATTAAATACAGATTTGTCAAACTCTGTGGTATCTGTTATTTCAAGCTCACGGGGATATATCGTATAAATTACAAAAAGGATTATTGGGTCATTATTTTAAAACAGCAGTTAAAAAAGTCAATCTCTCACCAGAGGGCATTTTACGTTCCCCTAACACCTATTATCGTCTAAATTACAAGAATATTGTAAAACAGGTAAATTATAGATTTTAGCCAACTTGGTAATTTTATGGTCAAGAATGTATTAAAATTTCAAGCATCTGCGATGAGTAGTTGCTGAGAAAAATGTGATGAAAAATTTGTTACGGACAGACAGACGGACGGACACACAAGGTTAAAACAGTATACCCTCTTCTCCTTCGAAACGGGGTATAATTACATTTTGGTTCAAAGGCAGGAGAAAAGTTAATTAGCCTGTATCTGACAGCAAAATAGTCTGCATTATTAGTACGTTAAGATGGCAGCAAAGGACCAAACATATATCTCCTTAATATTCCATTTAAAAGTTTGGAATTTTGGCATAGGTTCAACTTCATATAGTACTTGTTTATCATGTTATGTGTTTAAATGGCGGCATCTTGGATTCGTTCCAAAACAATGATGGGGTGGCTTTAAACTTTAAATTATTGATCTTGAACTTATTCCAAATCAATGAAATACCCGTATATAAATTGTTGTGATGTCTGAAAATGACAGGTTCCATTTTTGTTAGATAGCAAAGGGAGACTGAATCTTAACACTTGAAAAAATATGTATGGACCAAGGAAAAGGGTCTTTATTGACTGATCCTGGAGAAAAAGATAAGTTTCTTTTAAAATGAATAGTTAAAAAAAGTTATTACTTTTTGAATGTTTTAATGTTCATCTCTAAGGTGGATAATAAAAATTCTTTTTAAAGACTATTTCGTCACTGGTTTCGGAAATATCCGAAAACTTCGGACAACATAAAATTTAATTTAAGTTTCTGATAATTTTTTTCCCTTTTTGAGTACGATAAATAAAAAGGTTTCATCATAGATATTTGCATAAAACATTACTCTATCAAGAATATATAGCAAGCTATTTAAAAAAACGATTTGACTATATGACAATAACACGCATGAATTATTACATATTATTATTTTTAATTATTATTGATTTTTAAGTTTTGACATAAAAGCCGTTTGCGTAATAAAGTTGTTATCTGAA